GGTGCTGTGTAGGGAATCTGGGTGCTCTGCCCTCGGGATGGGTGCTGGGAAGGGAACGTGGGGTGCTTTGCAGGGAATGTGGGTATCCTGCCCGGGATGTGGGTGCTGTGCAGGGAATGTGGGTGCTCTGCCCTCAGGACGGGTGCTTTGCAGGGAGTGTGGGTGCCCTGCCCTCGGGGTGGGAGTCCTGCCCTCTGATGGATGCTGTGCAGGGATTGTGGGTGCTCTCCCCAGGTGTGGGTGCTCTCCCCAGGTGTGGGTGCTCTCCCCGGGCTGTGGGTGCTCTCCCCGGGCTGTGGGTGCTCTCCCTGGGCTGTGGGTGCCATGCAGGGCTGAGCAGGGTCCCCCTGCCTGGGGTGATCCCCCTTGGATCCCCCTTGGATCCCCCCTGGATCCCCCCACCTCTCTCCCCTCTGCCCTGGCAGCAGAAGCTCATCCCCCATCAGGTGCTCCTGAAGTTGTCCCATTTTGCCCCAAATCCCTGTTTCCAGAGGGATTTGACAGTCAGGATGTCAGGGCTGGGGTTCCAGAACCCCCCCAGAGCCCCTAAATCCTGTACCCGAAGAAGGGGGAGAGCTCCTAAAGAACCCCCAAAACAGCCCTGTAATGGCTCTAACACTGTGAAATATCACATCAAAGATATATAAATATATAGAAAATAACATTACAGCGTAATATCATTTATTTATATAACATAAAAACATATGTTTAATCTATATTTAATAATATTGATGTGTTTTACACCATATATTTAACAATATTTAATAGTGATGTGTAAATATGCATTTATATAATATATAAATATAATAAGGAGCATCCAGCAGTGACCTTTGCTGTTGAGCTGAGGGGCTCTCCCTAAATATAGTTTAACTCTTATATAGAGAGCCATTTGATACATAATATTATATATGTAATAGAACTATAAAAGCTCTTTAAGAGGTTTAAAAATTTTCAAAATATATTTAAAGATATTAAAGAGCAAGAACGAGTCATGTCCATTATAACATTTCAAAAATGGCCCTTTTTTCGTGTGTCTTGAAGTGCCTCAGGGGGAATTTTAAAAGTTGGAGCTTAAAACTTAGTGTGGCTCCAAAAAAAGAAATGTGAATGAGCAGGTTCAGAGGAATCGACTCTGGGTGTGGGAGCAGCTGGGAATGGGGAGGGAGAAGGGAATAAAGGGTAAAATGTGGCTTTTCCAGGGATACAGGTGGAGCTGGCTCTACATATTCCCTATAAAATATCCCTGCAAGGAGCTTTCCTTGGCTGGGAGGGGGATGCAGTGCTTGGCCAGCATTCCTGGGAGGAAAAAGGGAAAAACAGAAAAGGAACAAAAAAAGGAAATAAATAAAAGGAAAAAAGGAAAATAAAGGGGGAAAAAAGGGAAATAAGGAAAATGGGGGGGAAGGGAAAACAAAGGGGAGAAAGGGAAAAAAAATAAAAGAGGGGAAAATAAAAAGAGAAAGGAAAATGGAAGGGAAAAAGGGAAATAAGGAAAAAGGCGAGAAAGGGGAAAAGGGGAAAATACAAAGAAAAAAGGAAAATAAAAAAGGGAAAATATAAAGGGAAAATGAGGAAGGAAAAAATAAAAGGGAAAATAAAAAAGAGAAAAGAAAAGGAAAAAAATAAAAAAGGGGGGAAAAGGGAAAATAGAAAAGAAAAATGGGAGAAAAAAAGAGGAAACAAAAGGCAAATAGAAGGAATAAAAAGCAGGGGGGAAGGAAAAAAAATAAAAACCCAAGGATTGCAGAAGGGAGAACAATCCAGCCCCTCTTCCCAGGTACTACCAGGCCTGGACACTGTTCCCAGCTGGCAGGAAACAGGGATGGGGGGGAATTCCTGGCTCAGTGTTCCTGTCCTGGTCCCCATCTCACCTGTGCAGGTGTTGCACCCCCAGGTGCTCACAGATATCCTTCTGAAATGCTATTTTTTCTCCCCATAAAAGGTTTTTTTCCTTGCAAAGCCGTGTGAAATTGGAAATCCCAGTACACTCTGTTTAATGTTTCTTTGTTTTTCCTGGTGAGCTCAAACCACAGCAGAGAGAAACCAAACCCAAAGCCTCAACAGTGACAAATCAGTGCAAAGCCTTGTTTGCTGTAATATTAATTGTAAATTATTGATTTTGTAATAGATTTTTAGGATTGTAAAGAACTCAAATGACCCTCAGAATTCCTAGGTTTTCCTCCCTCATTTCTTGGGGCAAACGAGTCACTCAGGGTCATTTCTTGGACAAATTATGGGCTTGAATAGCTCAGTAGTCCCTTTAGGAATTCTTCCAGCCTGGCTGGGGTTGGATATTTCCTGGGATTCAGGGGAGGTGTAAAATAGTACTTGATTTATCTATATTTTAACTTCCTAACTCCATCTCAAATCCCTGGGAGCAGAGTGGGACTTGGAGTGTGTGACATCCCAGCTGGCTCATGGAACACCCGATTTCCCTGCAGTGCCACCCGGGAGGGTTTGGGATGGATGTGCTGGATTCCCTGGGAATCCCACGAGCTCCAGGATGAGGGGGCAGGGATGGTGCCCTGGGAATCTAATCTGGGGTTGGATTGGATATTAGGAGAGATTTGTCCATGGAAAGGGTGCTCAGGCATTGGGATAGCTGCCCAGGGCAGGGGGGCAGTCCCCATTCCTGGAGGGATGTAAAATCCATGTGGATGTGGCATTTGGGGACAGGGAGCAGTGCTGGGGGATGGCTGGACCTGATGCTCTTGGAGGCTTTTCCAGCCTGCAGGAATCTGTGATTCTGAGATTTCCTTCCCCCCTCTGGAGCTCATCCCACTTCCCTGGACTGTGCTGAGTCCCTCAAGCCCCACATTTGTCTTTAACTCTTCTCTTCCATCACTGTTTCACCTGTTAAGATCGTGGAATCATGGAATGGTTTGGGTGGGAAGGGACATTAAAGCTCATCCTGTCCCATCCCCTGCCATGGGCAGGGACACCTACTGCTATTCCAGGTTGTTCCAATCCCTGTCTAGCCTGGCCCTGGATATTCCCAGGGACCCAGGGGCAGTGCTGGGTGGACAGTTCTGGGTGTCCCCAGTGTCACCCACAGCATCCCAGCCTGGGATCCCTCCCTGTGCTGGATCAGCGTTGTCCATGGGTGCAGTTCCCTGCCTGGAGCTGCTCCTTGCTCAGCTCCCAGCAGTTATTTGCTGCTTTTCCCATGGGATTTTTGCCTTTTTACTGAAACCTTCTCTGTGGGGAGGGAACCAGCCCAGCCCTGCAGGTGGATGTTTGTGCAGCTGTGCCCTGGCTGTCACTGGGTTCCTTTAGGGCTGGGCTGGGATAACGGGGGCAGGGCTGGCAAATCTACACTTTCACACCCAAAAATGGGAGCCCAAACTTGAGTGAGACACCCAATTGCTTGTCTGGGGGTTGATCTGCTCCCGACCCAGCACCACTCAGGGGAAGGTCTAAAAATAGAACCCGAGTCCCGAGCGAGGCTCATAATCCTGTTGGCTCTGTCTGATGCCTTGGGATTGTAAAAAATCCCATTTAAGTCGGTGCAATTGCTCAATGTGGGAATTTTCACCTCGGCTCCAGATGTGGGGAAGGATGGAAAGGCATCCCAGGCAGTGATTTAATGCTGGGTTTGGCTCTGCACGACAACCACAGCAGTTCCTAAAGCTCCTTTTTAAAATCTGAACGGAAATAATGGGAAATTCTGCAATAAAAGTAATGACCAGGATGGGCTGTAATGTTCTGTTCCTGCCTATTCATAACTCAGGGAGAAGGAATAAAAGCTGGAGAGGGGGTGTTTGAGCAGGGCTCCTTATGGATTAGGGATGCCAAGTGTGGCACTGTGAGCTGGGATTGGAGGTTTCAGCTCTAGGTGGCATTTTATGGGTTTGTTACATGGCTGTGAATGGTGGGACACTGTGGGTGACACTGGGACATCAGGGACACCCAGAACTGTCCACCCAGCACTGCCCCATCCCTGGAAGTGTCCAAGGCCAGGTTGGACAGGGTTTGGAGCAACCTGGGCTGGTGGAAAGTGTCCCTGCCCATGGCAGGGGGTGGCATTGGATGGGCTTTAAGGTCCCCTCCACCTTCTCCCTCTCCTGGTGGGTGATGCTGTGGCTTGGTGGCACAGCCACCATTCCCGTGGGTGGCCACTGGTTTTCCAGGGTCTGGATCTGTGATTGAAGTAAAATATGTGTTGGAAATAATCCCTCCCTCCTCTATCAGTGCTGGGCTCCCACCTCTGGCACGGCCCTGTGGCTGGAGTGGGGTTTGCCTGGTGAGGTGGGTGCTGCAGAGCACTGGGATGTGGGATATGGGGTGTGGGATGGTGTGGGGTGTGGGATATGGGGTGTGGGATGGTGTGGGGTGTGGGGTATGGGGTGTGGGATGGTGTGGGGTGTGGGATATGGGGTGTGGGATGATATGGGGTGTGGGATATGGGGTATGGGATGCTGTGGGGTGTGGGA